CAAGAAAACCACCAAGCTCAGAGCGGCAGCAAGGACTCCAATGAAACGGTTCTGCTTTCTGCACCCACAACCACCTGTTTTTTTTTTTTCTAGGTTAGGCACCCAACAGACCCCTCCTCCTGGGGATCTCACAAAGCTAATGTCGGAGACGGGGGGGCTTTGTCAAGCTAGCAAGTAAACCCTGAGTGATCTGTAGGTCCCCTGCTTGCTCCCCGCCCAGAGATTCCAACAACCTCCGGGATTGCGTTTCTGTTCAAAACAGGGTGGCCGGTTTGGGATCCCGTTCTCGACTCGACGCACCCAATAGTTCGTAAAGTAGGTTCACAATCTCCTTCCAAGACTCAGCCGCGTCCTCTCCGGCAAACTCGGCAAAGTGGGCAGCCGTACTGTACACGTTGAGGCGGTCGATGCAGTTCAGGACGAGGGTGATCATACCCTGAAAAACAGCAGAGACACCCCCCACACACACACACACTTAAGGTCAAATGGTTTCTCCCTCTGACTGACCTGCCTTAACTTTGCATTTGACAGGCAGTGAGGGACCTGGCGTGGTAGGATGTGGTGACTTCAACCGTACAATATTGTATTCCTTTAAGCAATAAAGGATAAATACAATATTGTATTGTATTCCTTTATTGGTTTGCTACCAAACTGCCTTCCATGGAGGACCTGTATCCTGCACGAGTCAAAAAGAGGGCTGTGGAAATATCTACAGACCCCTCACATCCTGGACATAAACTGTTTCAACTCCTTCCCTCAAAACGAGGCTATAGAGCACCGCACACCAGAACAACGAGACACAAGAACAGTTTTTTCCCGAAAGCCATCACTCTGCTAAACAAATAATTCCCTCAACACCGTCAAACTATTTTCTAAGATTGTATTACTATTCTTCTTCAAATCCTTCCTGTTTCTCCTTTTACTTATGACTATAATATTGTTCCTTGTATCTTTATGATTTACATTGTTTTATTTAGCTTCCTAGTATGATTTGATTGCTTATTTAATACCCTATAACTATCGCTAAGTGTTGTAATCTTATGATTCTTGATGAAGGTATTTTTTTCCTTTATGTACACTGAGAGCATTTGCACCAAGTTAAATTCCCCCCAAATACTGGAATGCTGCTATCATGTCCCCAATAGTCTTCCTTTTCTCTAGACTACTCTGCATCCTACATAGTGGTCTACAGCAGGGGTCTCCAACCTTGGCAACTTCAAACTTTGCTGGCTGAGGAACTCTGGGAGTTGAAGTCCACAAATCTTCAA